AACAATGCGGCGAAGAGCGGCGCGCTCCGTGAATGTCGGTGAGTGTGTGTGTGTGTGTGTGTGTGTGAGCGTGTGAGAGAGCGAGTGTGCACTTGTCTGTCAAGATTATGGCGGTTTTTCAGTATCAACGAGTTGGGGTCTGCCAAAAAGAAAATCGTTGCTGTCGCTGCTATTGTTGTTGTTGTTGATTTCTCGAGTGCCGACGGCAACTCCTATTTTTCTTCATGTGCCATTTTTAATTTTTTTTTTTGTTTCGCTTCGCGAGCGACTTTCGTATTGCACTCGGCGCTCAGTTCAAGTTGAGTTTGAGTGAGCCTCGCCTCACACACGCAGCTTCAGTTCCACACACACATGCACAAAACATACAAGCAGGCACATTCACATCAACTTGATATCGTGTCGTCGTCTTCATCTTTGCTGTCGCTCGCTCGTCGTTTTCATTTGATAAATTGCGTTTATAAGAAAGAGATGAATTGTCATGCACAGCAGCAGCGCCAACAACAACAGCACCAGCTGTCGTGTGTGTGCGTGAGTGTGAGCGAGCAACGGTTGGCGCTCATTTGGGGCCCGCTGCCGCCGCTTTAAATCATATTGGCTGCGCCTCAGTCTGTTCCTCTGTGTGTGTGTGTGTGTTTGCTTGTGTATATGTATTATGCGCTTTCTCATTGCCTTATTTTTCGCTCGCACACAGTTTTCTTCGTCCGTCTCGCCTATGAATGCCGCAGCAATGCTCAGCTCTCAGCGCTCAGCGCTCGTCTGGGATTGGAAGTTTCCAAATGCAATTTTGCTGCCTTGAGCTTTTCGTCTTATTATCAAGCTGCCGTTTCTCTTTTTCTCGTCTATCTTTTTTCAACGGTGGGTGGAGACCTCGGTGCGCCCTTCGCTCTTTGCTTGGGGTCTGCTTATTTAAATTTCATGGTCTCCTCAATTTTGCCAACTTGTAATATTAAATTAAATTAAATTCCCATTGCATTTTTCTTCCATTTGGCTTGCCCTTAAAGAATGCAATAAACAAAATTGCTAACAAGTGCAGTTATTTCGTTTTACTCCAGCTTAACCTCTTTTAACTCTCAAGCTTTCATATAGAAATTTAACTGTTCATTGGTGAACTTTAGCGTGATCTTAAAATGTTGTTAATATAACATGCGCCCAATCAAATGTAGTCCTATTTACAGTTTTAATTAGATTTCTGACTGTTTACGAGTCAAATTAAATTCACATTGTAAAAGATTACATAGACCACATTTAACACTAAGAACAACTTTCATTCACTTTTAACCAGAGGATAAATTAGAATAATAATAATTTAGTTTCTTAAAGTCATAAATGGAATATAAATTTGTTGTAAAATATAATTTTCTTCAGCTAGTTGATAGAAATCTCTACCCTAGTTAAATCCGAAGCTCTATTAATTTGAAATTAGTAAATTATCCAGAAAGATTTCTACCTTGCTGTACAGTTTGACTTGGCATCCTTGCCGTTTTATCCTTGAACTTTGTTATAAATCACACGGCTGCCATTTTGGTCGTTTCTATCGTCAAGCCCATTTTGGCAATACACCCACCTTTTCTACTTACCCCGAGCACTCGACACACTCAAATAAATTAGCAATTTATTAGTTTTAATTGAATTTTCAAATGAATACGAATCGCATACGCTTTGTTTTCGCTCACATTTGGCACACAAATTTGCATTAGCAGGTCTTAAATTTAAGCACCTTGGCACTGCAATGGCAACAGCAACAATTTTGCATGAAGCGATTGAAAAAAGTTGGGGGAAAAAATCTCGAACCGCAAATCAATCAACGTCTCATAAATTTGTCAAGTGGGCGACAGTAAGACGAGAGCTCCGGGCTCCGAGTGGAGACGAGGACAAGAGACTGACTCTCCCAGAGGGCGAACCATCTCCTCAGCTCCTCGCAACAACAACAATTGGGAAAAGACGCGTAGTTAGAACAAAATATGATCAGCTGTTTTGAAATGGAAACCAGATTAAGTGCAGCATCATCATCATCGTCATCATCATCAGCATCATCATTATTATTAGCATTGTCATCGGCGTAACAGTGGCAACATCCTTGCCAGGGAGCCAGGCAGCAAAACAAAAAACAAAGCAATTTTTCATTTTTGCCTAAAAACGCGCAAAAACGGCGGCAACATTAAAACGAGCGCCGGCGTCGACGGCGACGGCGACGCAGCAGCCGCCCGTGCTGCCGTTGGCTCCCCAAAAATGAAAATGGCGACCGGGCGCCGCACGCCGGTTAGCCAAAAGCCAAAGGCCAAAAACAAAAAGCAAAAATATTATAAAAAATAAAATCGGAAAACAGGAACAACAACAACAACAAGAAGAAGAAAAAAAGCAAAAGGACACACAGGCCAAAAATGCGTTGTTGAAAAATTGCCTCGGAATATGTGTTAACTGCTTTTTAAACTGCCACGAGGACGACGACACGACGACGGCGCAGCAGCAGCAACAACAACAACAACAACAACAACAAACGGCAGGATGTGCATTTTGGGCAGTTGAATTTATCGGCGCGCGATTTATTATTGCACACAAAGTTCACGGTGCGAACAGCTGTTGGTTGTTTTTATTGTTGCTGTTGCTGTTGCTGCTGGCAGGATCATTGGCTAAGTGGCTGGATCGCCATGACGCCTGGCGACGTCGACAACGACAACAACAACGACGACGACGACGACGACGTCGCTGCAGCTTTTGAAGGCGTTGCCTATTCAACTGTCTATGTATGCGTGCGTGTGTGTATGTAAGTGCTTCTCTTTGTATGACTCCGTGTATGTGTGTGTGTGTGTGTGAGTTGGCAAAGAGCGCAAAAAAATTGAGCGAAAGTTGAGCGCGATGCGAAGTGACGGACAAGCGCAAGCAAGCAAGCATAAGGCAAAGGCAATGCCAAGCGACAACGTCTGGAGTGTGGCAAAGGCTAGAAAACACCTGAAAGCACTCACTGACACAAACACGAGAAACATAGCACAGAGCGCTGAGAACACGCTCAACCCCAGCCCCAAAAACCACCCAATGCCCAATGCCTGCGCGCACAGGTGGGGCGGCCAAAGAAGACTGAATGGCAAACTGATGCAAACTGCCACTCACTCAAGCGAAAATAACAAATGGGATTGGTTTTTGCTGATTTTCAACGCACGCACAGCGACGGCAACAACGACGACGACGCTGGCAGCAGCAGCAGAGAGAGGCGATGCGACGGTAGCAGCGGCCAAAACCTATAAGCCGTCTCCTTTTGGCCAAAGCCAAATAAATTTCAAACGAATGAACGAACGTTGAGCGAACGCCAACGACGACGACGACAACGACAACGACGACGTCGTCGTTGCGCAAAAAGAGTCGAAAAACAAATGGCAAAAACAAAAAACAAAAACAAAAACAAAAAATATATAGCAAAACTGAGCGCAGTAGAGTAGCGCAGCCCAGGCCAGATTGTGACAAGTGTGTGTATGACAGAAAAGGCGTACTAACAAATCAGTCATCATCCTTTGCGCTCTGCCTTTGGGCCCCATTTTGTAGTGCGCTCACAAGAGCGCGCCTGCGCTTTCGCCGTGCAATTCGCCGCAATTATACCAACAAAGCGAGCAGCAGGCGCAAACACACACACACACACGCACGCACCACAATTCGCCGGAGTCAGATGTGTTTGTATAGCCATCGCACTCGCACTGCTGGTAAATTTATGAGCCACCGCTTTGTACAACCTTTTTTAATGGCACAATTGTTGCGTCGCCGCCGTCTTTGCGACTGTGTGCGTGCGTATGTGTGAGTGTACGATCGACCAGACAGCGGCGTGCAAGCGTGCATGAGCATGATTGACAGTGTGTATTTGCCTTCGAACCGCGTACGACGTGCTTGTGCTTGTGCTGTCTGTGTTGTGTGCGAAGCGAGAAGCGAAGCCGAAAACGCCGAAGCCGTCGCCAACGTCGCAGCCGTTGAGAAAAATTATTATTATTACTATTATTATTGCTATTACATAGCATTATTATTGTTATTGTCACACTACACAACAACAACAACAACAACATTAGTAATAACCACAACTGCGGACAGCTACCGAAACAAATTTTGGACGCCGCCAAAAATTTACTCGTCGCGATCTCCTCGGCAAGCCAGAAAATAATATATCAAATCATATACATATAAGCGAAAAGCGCGCGCGTCTCGTTGCGCGACGTTACGATCGGTCGTTACGTTACGTTACGCGTTACGCAGCAACGTTAACGGACTTTCGTCGTGTTGCCGCCGCCGTCTCCGTCTCCGTCTCTGTCGCCTACGCCTTCGCCGTCGCGTTACCGTCGCTAAAACAACATTTGCAACATTTTCCGATTGCACGTTTCGTTAGAAGCAAACAAGAAAACAAAGTGCAGTTAATGCAACTATAAACTGTAAACAGTTAGTTGATGTTGATTGGCTGCTGATTTGTACGAAACAATTGACAACAAGCTTTTGGTTTTCCGTAGTATATTATAGTATGTAGAAGCAGCTGTGATAAATAGTGCGCATATTATACGAAGCAAGAAGTATACGACATACAAGCAAACAACAAATCTACAACAAAATAAAACAACAACACAAAGGGGACGCAGTCGAAGAGGAACAGTTAGAAGTTCAAGAAGAAGAAGAAGCAGCCGCTGCAAAAGGCACGAGCAATGGATTTATGACAACAACAACAACCCACAAGCAGAGCTAAAAGGCAACAGCAACTGCAAACTATGTTGCCTGGCCCACACAAGCAGCAGCAACGACAACAACAACAACAACAACAACAGCTCAGCAGTATACATAGAACAACAACAAATGTAAAAAATATAACTACAAAGGAACAACAATAACAACAACAACAACAACAACTGCTGCAACGGCAACCCCAATGAAAACAAATTGTATACGATTTTTATAAACCGCAAAACAAAAGCAAAAAAAATTATATATAACTACAAGAAATTATATGTAAATATTATATAAACATTTATATATGTATGTATGTATGTATGTATGTATACAAAATACAAAACAAAAAGATCTCCCGCTAATAACAAAAACGCGCGCGTAACTACAACAACAAAGTATACCAGCAACAAAAACAACAACAACAAATTAAATACATAAATCTTAGCAAAGAATGAAACAAGTCTAAAGCAAAGATTTTAACAAATGTGCCTGTGTTAAAACCGAAAAAAATAATAAAGAAGAGAAGTAGAAGAAGAAGCAGTAGTGCAAAAGCATAGAAAGAAGCAGAGCAAGAACTACGTATCAAGAGAAGCGAAGCTGAGAGAAAGAAAGAAATTGAAAATATTCAAAATACACAAATTCTAATAATATTTTTGTGAGTGTCACGAGAAAAATAAAAGAAAAAGAAAAATATAAAGAAAAATACAACCAAACCTAGAGCATCAAGCATAGCAGGAGGCCCTGATAGATCTGATAGATCTTACTCCATAGAGTTCGTCACGTCGCCAGGAAGGACGAGGCCGAGGACGAGGACGTGGACGAGGACGCAAGGGACGCGGGACCCTCATTCTGTGTTGCGCCGCCAACTGTCCTCTGTACACCACTAAAAGTGGCACAAATCGGGTTAGACGTCGCTCCCAGAGCATTAATGGCTCAGCCTAGGGTAAGTAAATCGATCCAATATATACAAAAACCCAAACCCAAAAGTTTATGCCTCAGCGTCAGAAATTCCATGCTCACAATTGCCGACGGCGACGGCCTTTCACATAGCTACCCCATTCGACTTATCGATATTCTTGAGATCGGGGAACTAGTGTGAAGTTATTTAATTTGTGCGTGAAACTAAGTGTATAATACCAGAGAAAGTGCTTGTGATGGGTTGCTGGATGACAATTCCCGAAGTGGTCTGAAGCTGTTTCTTGGTTTCTTACTTTTTGAAATTGTGATTATTTGCCAATTGTCAAAGTTTACAGCTAATTCTATATTTCCGACAATTTTGGTTAATTACGGGCGAAAAGAACTCATGTAGATCCCATCTCCGATTATGTGTTGAATTATTGTGTTTTCTGTCGAAGCCGTCGGCATTCCTCTCTGTTCCTTACATACAGACACATATAGCTATATATGCGTGTATATATTATAAGCAGCTAGTGCTTGTGGCGTGACAAGATTTTTATAGGGATATCAGACTATAAAAATATTATAATTGCTGGAATTTGATCAAGCTGATAATCTGTATACATATGTAAATGTGTCTATTCACAAATTATAATGTTAGCTCTGCAATTGTTAATTATTTTATGGCTAGTATGGGGCATATTTCAGCCAAATCAAGTTAACATAATGTTAACGAAAATGTTGTTCAAATGTTACTTGACAGATTCCCAATGATTTAAGCTAGTCTCTGTTAAGAACTTGACTTTGTACTTCACTTGCTTTTACAACTAAAATATCAATTTATTAAAAGAAGATTCATTATTCCAATCAAATAGAATCGGTTCAGATATTTCTCTATGGTATTAGTTTCACATTGAATTATAATTTTATTATAATCTCTCGAAAATCCATTCTGGCTATTTTTCAAAATAAATACTAATCAGCTGACTGACCAACATACTTAGCGCTCTTTTCTTGCTTATTTTCTTCGGGTTTTGTGTGTTTTATTTGCCAACTTTAACTTTATGAACTGATTAACATATATGTGCGAAACGAACTTGATATTTCTATGGACCGTTAAATCGTTAGAAAATACAAGAAAACGAGACCAAATCAGAGTTAAGTAAATTTGTGTGTGTGCGTGTGCGTGCGTGTGTGTGCGTGTGTGTGCGCGTAGTTTGTAATTAGCATTGGGTGTATTTATATGCCGGCCATGCCAGAGAGTTATGACACTGTCCTACATGGTTAAGGCCTGGCTCTCTGGGGAGAGGCCAGTTAAAGACACGAAGTACAAAATAAAATAAAAACAGTAAAAACTGCCCGCGGGACTTTTGTGGTGATTTTAATATTTCGCTGTTCCGTTCGGTTCGGTTCGCTCTGGATGGGATCGGTTCGGATTGGAGCTGTTCATGTTGTTGTTGTTGTTGTTGTTGTTGTTGTTGATGCAGGCACATAAATTTACGCTTGTGGTTTAATACGCGAAATTCTCGCTCTCTTTGGGTGAGTCTCAGATTCCGATCCCATCAAATGTCCATACGGCCCAGGTTCATTGGCTGTGTGCGTACTGTGTGTGCGTATCTGTGTGTGCGTATCTGTGTGCGTATCTGTGCGTGTGTGTTTGATGTGATGCATATAATTTTATTGCACATTGGCGAGGCGTGGCGAGGCGAGCTTGGAGCGGAGAGAGGCAGGGGCAACACGCTGTGGTTTTATTATTTACAATTACAATTTCATTTCGCTTTATTTTTACTTTAATTTGCACTTTTGTGCGTTACAACAAAAAACAAGAACAAATGGCAGCAGGCAATTTTTTTTTGTATATATAATTTGATTATTTTATGCCTCGCAGTTAATGAAAACGAACGAAAAAAGATCCGAAAAAGCGAGCAGCGGCAATTGCAATTTGTGCAGCTGCCTCAGACACACACACACACACACACACACACATGCACATACAAACCCTCTTCTGCTCTTCTGCACCGCTGCCCCGCTGCAACATTCAACATTCAACACAAAAATTGTTTTGGTGTTATTTTAATTTAAAGGTTAACCGCAGCGTAATTTGTGGCATAAAATATAATTCGTCTAGTGTGCGCTGGTCGCGTTTTCAGCGCGCGAGAGCGCTAAATAAAATGGGCAAATAAATAAAAATCAAATAAAAATGAAAATGAAAATGGAAATAATGAAAATAAAAATAAAAATCAAATAAAAGTGCACAGCACAGCACAAAACACAGTATTCGGCCGAGCCCGAGAGCACGAGAGCCCGTTCGACATTCGACATTCGCCTCTCGCAAATGCATTTGCAGTTGCAGTTCGCCATTTGTTTGGCTCTGGGGCTCTAAATGTGCGGCCGCTTTTTCGATTTGGCCTTAAATTGTTTCGCTTTTGTGGCTTTTAGCAGTCCACGTTGCAATTCGCGCCGATGGCGTCTGATTTAGCTGCCAAACAGCATGAGTTTTCCTTCAAATTACAGTCTTAAGAGTTGGTCGACTTTTTATTGTTTGTATCTAAGACAGAATATAAAACTAGAAAATATCTATTAAAAAGCGAGTTTAAGAATATTTTCAAGACATTCGGAGATGTCTTATTTCAAAGATGTTAGAATTCCCACAGAGTATAGAATCAAATACAAAGTTAGCTCTCAGATGCAAGGTGTATAGGATTAATATTGTGTTTCGGACTTTCAAGTTGTTGTCACACTTAAATCAATTATATTTACTCAAAGATTTTATCGAAATATTTAAACAAACAGAAACAGAAATTTATGCGAACAAGAAAGAAACTGTGGCTTAAAGAAATTTCATTTACGTAAGAAAAGCAAACTATTTTGAACGCAATAACTATGCCAGTATAAAGAGTTATCTGATCCACGGATAGTTGGTTCTCGTAACTTTCAACTCGTAATGATTCATATAATCTGGCAAAGAAAGAATTGTGAGAGGAAGATCCAGAAACACAGTCGCCCATGAGTCATGCCAGACTTAATAGCCAAGTGGAACTTCAGTAGGGTCTATTCCCGTCTCCATTCCAGCTCGTAGGAAACTTGTGCTTCAGGACTTTGCACAAGCTACGAGTAAAATTTATAAACAAATTATACAATTTATGTGTGCATATGTATATGAATATTTCTGGCATACCAGAAACTGCATAAAAATTGTGCGCTGCAGGCCACGTTGTAGCTTTAACGGAAAGTAAGGGAAAGGAAGGGAAAGGAACGAAACGGAACGGAACGGAACCTACAACAGTCTCCAGGGGGTTCGGTATTGGATGCCAACCACATGAACTGCTCTGCAGCTCCACTCGATGACTCCTGGGGTAGTGTTTGGGTTTTTCGTGTGCTAAAGAGCTTCATGTTTAATGATCAAATTGCGTGCCTCGTTTGGTGCCTGGTGCGTTGTTTTTGTAGTTGTTGCCGTTGCTGATGTTGTTGGTGTTGTTGGTGTTGTTGCCAAGAGGCCGTTTGGCTGTTGGAAGTGTTTTCATTAGTTTCATTTCTTTTTACATTTGCGCTCAAATCGTCTTTAAAATTTTGCTTACAAATATTTCGCACAATGTAATTTCCCCCAGCATTAGCGCTAAGCGAGCGCTAATTTTCGGCAAGTTAAGTGAATTCCATTACATCTTTTTGACTTACGCTCTGGCGCAGAGTTTGGATACAACAATGAAGGAAAGATATACACATATGTATGTATGTGTGTATTTGTGTATGTGTGTACTGTAAACTAACTGATACAAGCTGAAAATGTTTGGGGTCTTCCATGGGGGCAAAACAACGAAAAGACGTGGAAAATCATTTAGACAAGTTGCACGCCGCTCATTAAATTAAATGAGCCATCAGCACGCAATTTATTTTAGTATTTTTGAGTAACTTTTGCCATGCCAGACTCAGACGCAGACGCAGAAGCAGACGCAGACGCAGCTACTCCACAGTTTGCCACAGCTCCGCTAGCTCCTCTCTGTTTTTTTTTCTGCTTCCTATTCGTTGTTGTTGTAGTTGTTGTTGTCGGGCCAAGCCAATTTAATTAAATAGACGCCGCGTGCTGTTGAAAATTGATAGAAAATGTGAGATAATATTAAAAGTTGTTTTTTAAATATATATTTAGAAATTAATACAATGTATAGATACGCAGCCAAAAAAGATACATACATACCTTCAGCTACTAAATAAAGTGCCTTGAAATAAAGTGTATAAAAGCCGCAAGGCGGCAAATGTTTAACGATATTCGAATTATTAAAAAAATACACATGTCTGTGCATTTCTATTTAGTTCATTCTCATGCCTATTTATACAAAAATTAGTTAAAAGCCAAATGACTAATCTAATTTTTAGATGACACTTTTATTCATTTTATTTTTATTCTGTTTCAACATTCTTAAGAGCGAAACTATGTTAAGAATTGTAAAACAATATATTTATAACTATCAAAACTATTACGGAGCCCATGAGAAAGTGTAGAATTGAAAGGGAACTGAACCTAATGCTAACAATATATGCATATAGTACTTGGATACTTTGACAGTAATTCTTAGAATTTTAATTATCTTTGATTTCGATTTGTTAAATGTGCGGCCCGTGGAAAATTGTGCTAGTCTTTGTTGTAGTCTATATTGTATTTTTTAAAAAATATTTTGTTAGCTGCTTTTATTTTAATAAATGCCAGGCTGACGTCATTTGCTTTTTTTTGCTGTTTTTTTTGCTGTTTTTTTGTATTAATGTTAAAATGCCAAGAATTTCTGGTTGCTGTCGCCTTGTGTAGCGACTACGACTTTCAATTTAGCTAACGATCGCCTGAAATATATATATATATGTCATATATATACACTTGTGCTCTGAGCATTTGTTTTTGAATATAAATTTAAACTCCAGAAATAAGTGAGCGAGTGGTTCCTAGGCCCTTTTGCTTGGCAGACTTCAGAGGGCACCGAATATTATTATTAGTAGTAGTAATAATACCAATAAAAGCGAGCGTGTTCCAATCGACAGTGGCTGCAACTGTAAATTAAAACAACGCCGAGGCACGCAACAAAAATTAATTGTCTAACACCAAATAAACTATACAAAACATCAGTACCGACCCCAAGGCAAAGAAACAAAATAGTGGAAGATATAAAAATAATAAAACTGGGCGTGTGCCCAGCTTAATGAAATGCTCCGGCTGTGGGTTACGGGTTCGGGACTACGGCTTACTCCAAACTCTGGCCGACTCTCGGACACACCTACAATACACAATACACCAAATCCACAATTCCACATCCACATCCAATTCCAGTTCTAAAGGCAATGGCACTAGCATATCTCAGGGTCGCTCTGTTCGTCTGCTAATTAAGCAAGCAAAATAAGAAACAAAAAAAAAAAAAAAAACAAAAAATTGAATTAAAAAGAAAACGAAGCAAACTCAAATACAACATGATAAACAATTAATTTTGATTAGGCGGCCAACGTCGCACAATTAAGAATGTGAAAGAATGAAAAGCAAAAGTGTTGCCCGAATAAGAAATCAATAACACTGGCCAACACATTTATGCACAGCTCCAATCGTTTCGTAGTTGTTCAGAACATTTATGCATATGGAGCACACACATAACACCCACACACACACGCACACAGACATGTGTCGAGGGTTTAAGGGCTTGCTAAAATGGCGGCCATTGTCACCACACACACGCATGCACACACACACGCGCACACACGCACACAGGCAGTCGCACCTATAATTCTTGCAGTCTGGCACTGGTCAGTTTTAGGCGCCGTTAGATAAACTCCCTAAAAACAACAAAAACACAACGATTGCCGCCTAAACTGTGCACCTCACGTCCTCCCCCTCTATTTGTATTTGCGTATTCTGTCTCACTCTCACTCTCACTGTCATTCTCTCTCGCTCTTGCTGTATCTGCATCTGTGGCAACTGCATTTGGCTACAGTTTTGAGTTTCAAGTTCAAAAAGACAAAAATGTTTGTGCAAATGTTTTGGTCGGTTTGCCGCCCACTTTTTTTTGGGGGGCTGCCGTTAGGCTGACATAAGAGTGTATGTGTGTGTCTGTATGTGTGCGCACAACTACATATAGCATCGAGCACAACAAACTGCCTAATGCAAGCTTAAAGTGCGGCACAACATTTTGTACCATTTAAAGCCAACAATTGAGTCGAGTGAGTTGTAGTTGTTGTTGTTGTTGTTGTTTTCGGCTCGATGACTTAATGTCTCTCAATCACGACAAAAATACACACACAGGCGCATACACACACATATAGAGGCAACAAGAACGCTGAGTCCTCGTTAGCTATGCGTCCTGTTGTCCTGTTGGCTATGTAACTGCTGCGTCTGTCACTGACAGCTAGCGTCGCCCCCGCTTTCCCAGCCCTGGGCAGCGCTGTCATTGTGTGTGTGAGGGCCGCAAATACATAAATTTTTGAAGGATTTCGGCGCTGAACTTGTCAAAATCAGACGACAACACCAACAGAGCCATGTTTGCTGTTATATTCCGAGTCCCCGTTTGTTGGCTGTGTTGTTGTTATTGATTCACCAGAGAGGAACAAGGGAGGAGGGAATGAGAAGGAGTGTATTTGAGAGCATAGCTTGCAGCAATCGACGCGCCGCGTTGCCTCAACAAGGTCATTGGCTCGGGCTCTCGGGCTCGAGCCCGCAGATGATCATCAATCAAATGGGAAAGCCTTAAGTCTTCAGTGCCAGGTCTTAAGTGTGTTTGCCTGTTCGATTTTTGGCGCGTTCAGTTACCAAAGTAACAAAAGTCCGTTCATTTGGGCACTGGGAATGGGTACAGGGGTTTGCTGCTCAATTCCCACATTACTTATGTACAAGTACAAATTGTGGTAATTTTCAGAGATCTCTTTGTTGGTGATTTTGCTTGTGCTTTGCTTTGTTTTCTTAACTGTTTGGACGTTCGGCTGTTTGGCTGTTTGGCTGTTTGGCGTTTAGCTGTTTGGTGCTCCACAATTTCCTCATTTCTAAAAGCAACAACGCTGCCTCCGCGAGCTGCTTTGTATATTCGCTCATTCGTTGGCTGTGCCACCAACACTAAAATTAGCATAACAACTTTATAGTTTAACTGCTCGACTGCCTGGTCTGGCCCCGGCCGGCCCGGGCTCGGTTCATTCTGTGGTCTGGCACTGATCCGGTCTGGCTGTATCTATAAGTTTGTATCTTGCATGCACTGCATACAGTGACGCCAACACCAAGAATGAGTGACAAAAAGACCAACAAAAAACAAAAATTATAAAAAGCGACAAAAGCAAAACGGAACAAAACTCGATTTGTGTGCTTGTGCCTCGAAAGCTGCACAGTAACTAATCTGTTGTGTGTATCTAAAGGATTGCCAGCAAACTAAAATGACAAAAGGTCTTGGTACTTTTTGCAGGTGGCAGCCGCACAAAACCTGCCAACAACAGCTGTTGCTGCTGCTGCTGCTGCTGCCTGAGAATAGCACTCGCAATGCAGGGTGGGGGGGCAAGAGTCAGCCATTGATAGACCCATTTCAAAGCAAACAAACTCAGACACTCACACACGTACACACACACACACACACAGACACACTGTCAGGTGCAAATCCTGGCCAAGTCAAGAGCTACTCGTATCACAGCCACTTACTACACTCCCCATCACAAGCTCAATGCCAATCCCAAGCCGCCAAGCGTCACTCAGTCAATTGCTCATTTAGTGTCAAAGATTTTTCCAAGCCGATAACAACACACACACACACACAGACACAGGCACAACAAATGCGAGGGAAAACTTCGGCAGCAAAAAGTGCCATCATTTCTTGTCGCTGCACAAAAATCTTGTCAACTTGCTGCGCCTCAGCTCTTCAGCTTTCCAGCTCCTCAGATGCTCAGCTCCAAAAATTATGCAGTGTGAAGCGGCGACGACGCCACTTGAGTATAAAAATGATAAAAATCTTACACAAAACCAACAACAAGAACAACAACAATCGCAATCACAAAAGGCAGTAATCACAGAAGGCAGAGAGCAGCCGCGTTGAACTTTAAAAAATATTTTTGTGTTGTTGCTGTTGTTGGTGTTGCTTGTAGTTGTTGCCGTTGTTGCCGTTGTTGCATACGTGAAACCAGTTTGCAATTGAGAGCGAGACGGAGCTAGCGAGATACACTCGCACCAGCTCACTCACACACACAATCGCACACACAGATTAACTGATAACATTAAAAATTACTTTTTTTGCTGCTCTCTGTTAACTGTTTTGCTGCTGCTGCTCATTTTGGCGCTTAATTAATATGCAAAAAACGTTGAAAGAAAAGAAGCGACAACAACAACAATAAGAACAACAACAGCAACCAGCTAAATATACTTATATCTGTATATATGTACATATAGATATCTATATAATGCCGCAGCTAAAGTAATCACAAGGTCAAACACAATGCGAACCGTTTTGTTCTTTTTTTCCCCCTCTTTTATTTTGGGGGCTTCAATTTTTGTTGACGTGCTTGGAAATAATTTAAATGTAGATAGACATATTTACAGAAAAGATATATAGATATACGTACATTTATGCAGGTACAATTCGTAGCTGGCATTTACTGACGCTGAGAAACATATCGTATAAATATAATTATATCTCTAATAAGTATAAATTCTCATATTCTCTTTCTCTCTCTCTCTCTCTCTCTCTCTCTGGTTTGTTTACAGTATGACGATGGCCTGCATGGCTACGGCATGGACTCTGGCGCCGCAGCCGCGGCGATGTATGATCCACATGTCGGCCATCGGCCGCCCGGACTGCAAGGCCTCCCCTCGCACCACTCACCGCACATGACGCACGCCGCGGCAGCGGCCACAGTTGGGATGCACGGCTACCATTCGGGGGCCGGAGCGCATGGTACACCTAGTCATGTATCACCGGTTGCTAATCACCTAATGGGCGCAATACCCGAGGTACACAAACGTGATAAGGATGCGATTTATGAGTAAGTAAACGCCAAATGTTGCTACCAAACTTTTTTAAAATTGACGCCGAATCGTTAAATACTACTTGTCAAATCAATTGGAACAGCCCAGCACAGAGAGCTGTCAATGAACCAGTTTTGTGATAAGCGTAGATCATAAAAATGGTCGCTCATTCATAAGTTGGATTAAAGTCGATCGAGCAACACAAAGCGATTAGCAATTCCAGCCCAAAGTGATTTTATGGGTAAACTTACACGATCACGCGTAATACTAGATTGGGTCGATCGATTAATAGTTCGAGAAAAGACTATATAATCGGTCGAACTTTAGATTCCACATAGGTACACGATCGCCTGGCCGATAAACTGGACTAATAATATTTCGATCCACATTAAAAGATATTTCGTGAGACTGACACAGAAAATTCGAATCTAATTTTGATGTTTGCCATCAAGAAACTTTAGTGTATAGTGAACTTCACTTGGGATCGATCCTTATACCACAGCGATCAGCATGATAAGCATGATTTGTCGTCTGATGAATGGCCAATTGAATTTTGTCCAAGTCATTTATTTAATTTACTAAACTTCCAACGTCCTCCTACCTTGGGTCGCCATCGCCAATTTTCGCCCTTTGATCAGCTAACTCACATATTGAATACCAATTTGTTGCGATCGATCCCTGGGCTGAGCCGTCACCTGTTGCAGCCTGTTCGCACCTCTCGTCATCGAAAAAGAAGATATTCGAGGCGAGGGAGTAACATAAATTTAACGCACACGCGACGATCTTTTAGCAAAGGAAACAAAAAGGAAAACAAAAAAAATAACAAATACCTTAGTGAGGGCCATGTTTTTCTCTTAGTTGGTTTTTTCTCTTTCATTTTTTTTTTGTATACTCGTAGAATTGGGCGTGACCTTCTGTGTTTTGTGCAAAATACAAAATTATGGGTTTCCTTTGGCAACAAAATTTCTTTTTTAATTTGTTCGCTCCGACTGCGGCTGCGGCTGTTGCGGCTGATCGGGGGGTGTGGCGCGTGCTTAGTGTCCGACACGGCACATGGACGTGCTTAGGCATTAGGGAGTCCCTTCCAAATGAGCTGCAGGTTGTTATTGTTGTTGCTGTCTCTCCTGCTGCTCCTGCTGCTGTTGCTGCTGCCACTTGGTGTTAAGTTGCCAAAATGCGGTTTCGGCTTTTTTGCCTTTTTCTAACTTCATCAAAAGCAGAGGACACGCTGCTCGTGTCATTCTCGTTTCTGCAGTTGCGTGTCCTGCACACGCAGGAGCTTAACAACTGCCAATTTTCATGTGCTGCAACTGGCGATACCCAGGAACAGCTGCTTGAATCATGTTTGACTTTAGCCTTCATTTTTTCTTGCGCATTTTAATAAGTAAATATTTGGTTTTTGTTTGTTTTGTCCGGCAACTTTATGAATGAGCCGAGCTTGAGTTGGCATCAATCAGCTGTTGTTTGTTGGTTGTTTGATGAGCGTTCTCGTCATCGCTTAGGACGATGTCCTCGTCCTCGTCCGCGTCCTCGTCTGCGTCTGGGTTTGCGCTTCAAGTGTGTGAGCAAACATGGGCCACGACTTCATTAGCACACTTTTTGGCTTGGGCTTTGGCTCTGCCACCTGCAACTGGCACAGTCAGTGGCACTGCTGTAAATAAAACTCGAAAATGCGCTTCTTATTTGTACAATTGACACCTTGAAAGCGGCAGCCAGACACAAAAATAATAATAACAATAAGAAATAAACGAAATGAAAAAGCAGCCGCTACAATAAAATGAACATGCGCAGAACTCTCTTAACACCTTCTCGAGTGGAGTGCAACAACAACAACAAGAACAACTTCAGCTGCCTGTCACAAATGCCAAGTCATGGCAAATGAGTGCACACTTTTTTGTTGCTTGGGTCGATCCTGGCCAGCGGGAATGGAAATGGAATTGAAAATGGAGTAGAAAGGGGAATGGCAATGGGAATGGAAACTCTGCTGCGCAGTCGACTGTAAAAAGCGCAAGGGCCTTCGCATTAGCAGTTGTAGAGCAGAGTTCAGGGGTTTCGGGCCACGGTCCGCTTATTAATAGTTGCTAAGCGCACGGCTACACCCTCACCGATGGTCAATGGTCAGTTGTGCCATCTAATGGCTAAGTGAAGTGCCTGGGCTGGCCAAGGAGCGGCCCCTTAGTTTTAGAGGGTTCACTCGCTCTTTGCCTAATTTTGTTCAGGTGCAATTTGTGCTTGGAGCGTGAAGAGCAGTTAACAACAATAAAAAGAAAACGAAATTCAAAAAACAAAAACAAAAAAAAAAAAGAACAACAAAAAATGGTCAAATCATGCATAGTTGCTGAACTAATCCGTCAAAATGTAGGGCCAGGTCTCAAACGGAGGGATTATATGTAGATGTGGACGGTTTTTTCTCTCTCTATCCCTCTCTCTTTTCACTGAAACGAAACAGCTGCTACTCATTTGCATTGCAGGTTCAAGGCAGGAAATAGTTAAAAAACAGCTACACTGACGAAAAAAAATATGCTAAGCTCTTGTTTTGCTTTCATACAGCTATTAACTTAAAGCAATTCTTAAATCAGCACAAATCATGATTTTTTGCATGGGATTATTCTTATTCTTTTCTTTTTAGATGTAAATTCCTGTTTATTAATTTGTCGCCCTGTCTCTTTCTATTCTATTTGCAGACATCCGCTATTCCCGCTCTTGGCGCTAATATTCGAGAAATGCGAATTGGCCACATGTACGCCGAGGGAGCCTGGCGTGCAAGGTGGCGATGTTTGTTCATCGGAATCGTTTAACGAGGATATTGCAATGTTCAGTAAACAGGTAAGCCAACAGAAGAGATGATGATGAGATCATCTCCACTCCTGTTTCCGTGTTCTTTTGGGGGTAATTGGAGCTGTGCTCGTTGCGCGCGCTGCCACAAGTGCCACATGTGCTACATGCGGCACATGCAGCACAGCCGAGAGCCTGTCCACCGAATCGCGGCACACGAGTCTAACGAAGCAAACCGTTAAATGATCGGATTACGTAGCAGTCCACTCTGTTTTATACTCTGGCCGTCCCCCTTGGCTCTCTTGAGGGACTGCACTTAATTACATTTCGTTTCGGCTTGCCATATGTCACAAATATGCGTTGCCGCAATTGACACTTCCCCCGACGGCTGCCCAAAAGCTGAGCTTATACTTCGACGGAGTGACATTTAAGTAATTTACGATGTTTTAACATACAAATTATAATGTTGCAAGTCGTTTATGTACGTTTGTGGCAGCTACCCCTGCAGCTACATCCTGGCATCCAGTTCTCTGCGCGCTGCTATTTTTATGAACGAGATCACATTAAGAAACAGACGTTTACTCAGAGGGCGGGCGAGATACGAGCGAAACTTATGGCTCCATCTAGAGATTTTCATGTCCGCGACATTTTTGGCGCTCCAAATAAGGAAAAAAAAGGAAATGAGAAAAATAATAATAAAAACAACAATAACAGCAAGAGACACCCACTTTTGTTGTTGTTGCTGGCCACTTGGATTTTGAAGGCAAAAAAATGATGTTTTTATTTATGGTCCATTTGGAATTTTGACAGGCCTGCCATGGGTAATAAAATCAACAGCAACAACAGCAGAGTCCACATTTATCAAGATACGTTTTTGGTCCTTTCCTGGCAAGGTGTTGCTTTTGTTGTTGTTGTTGTTGTTGTAAGCCACGATGATTTGTTGTTCTTGATATGCCTGGCGAGATTTTGATGAACTTTTGTCAAATTGACAATGAAATGCCAATTGAGTTAACAAATTTCAGCTTGGAATGAGTCTTTCCGTACACCTAAGTACTAATGAACTTAAGAACTATGAAATGGAATAACAACCTATATGTTCTCTTTATAACATATATAAATTCTTTGACAATCTAAAGATCTTAAGCTATAATTGGTTTCCCTCACTTGCGTTTGCATAACGCGAGACACAGAATGCAGAATTTTGGTTGACACCCTCATAGCAGAACATTACTTCGCACTTTGCTTTGTGAATGATCCACAACAAGCAGCAGGCACCAAGTCAGTACACGCACACTCGCACACATAGATAGAGATGCACAGATACAGATATAGACACCATCAACAACTAAGTTGTCGCTTGCATTTCATTTGATTCGATTTGAATTCGTTTCTTTTTTAGTTCGCTACTAAATTGATGCTGCTTCGGGGTCGTTGTTGTCTCTTGCCGTCTCAGGCTGACAAAAATAACTCAAAAATGTCATTCGCCCATCGAATTTTAACAAACGAGCAGAGCAGAGCTGAGCAGCGCATAGAGAGTCAGGGCCCAGTCGACTCGACTCGACTCGACTGCCAACACGGGCGCTAAAAATATGTGGCGATACTTTTTTAGTTGCCCCACTGTCGATGCATTTTATATAGATAGTTTGCATCTAGATACATCCCATGTTGGTATATGCACGTACATACATATATACATAGAGTCACTTCATTTTGACTAAGCAACTGCGTAAAATGCGCCAACGCCAACGCCACAGATCGGGAACGAGAATGAGTACGAGAACGAGAACGAAAGCGAGATCCAGATCGAGATCTCACAATCTGAACCGTCGCACTCTGCGTATCGTTTGGCATATACTTAGTTAGGCGACTTTTGGTGTTGGCGCTGCTAATGATGCAGCTAAGGAAACGCTTTATAATTTCTCTTTAAAAGCAGCTGAAGAAAAACGATACAAATATATATATATATATATATATATATATATATTTATACATATACATAAACATATACTTATACATATATAAATATATACATGTGTACTTTATAAATAAGCAACAAAAGCTGAAGATGTTGTTGCTCCCAAAGCGACGCGTCGGATGTCTGTCTGCGTGAATGTTGTTGTTGTTGTTGTTGCTGTTGCTGTTGCTGTTGCTGTTGCTGCTGCTGATTTCTCCCCATACAAAAATTACTTAATGTGCTGCAGCCTTTGTCTCCAATGTTTTGCCTCCTGCCGTCTCACTCTCGCTCGCTGTCTCTCTGTGCCAAAGACAAAGAACCCCTAAAGTCAGCCCCCATGCTGATTGCCCAAATAATTTTTATGATTTCGTTTTAAGTAATTTTTAATGAAAATCAGTCGTCACAAAGGCCACGCGTTGCAAGTAGCTTTTGCCTTCGCACCCGACGGACTGACAACTTTTGGCGTTTTGGCTAATAGTTTGTACATGCAACGAGTTGATTTTTTGGCGTTGACAACGCGGCTCCATTGTCTCGTTGTTGTTGCTGATCCTCTCTATTTGTTGTTCGGATTGTTGTTGCAGATTGCAACCATGCGTGCAGCAGTGCCTGCGTCTGCTTCTAAGTAGTTGTCTCTTCTACACACACATATACACTAACACACTCACAAACAACCGCACTATGTTGGGGGCTGTCTGTTTTGGCATGATGATTAATGAAGTGCGGGTAAAATGATGATGATGCTGCCTGCTGATGCTGACGATATTTTGAATTTCTGCGGCAGGCCCGCGTCTCGTTTGCTGTTGCTGTTTTCCATATGAACAACATGAAGCTGTTGTCTGTTGTGTATCGTGTTGTTTTAGTCTCTGCTCAGCGCTACAATGTGGCCTGCCTTGCGACTGTCCTTGACATTATACTTATGGTAAAGACTGTAGCTACATCTGTCACAACATTGACACTGCCCGAGCTGAGAAACTTTCTACTAGAGCCAGAATAACTCACTAACTGGCCCAAAAGAAGTTGGGAAGCAACGCCTCTGGCTGTGTCTCTGGATTAGCAAGTGGCAGGTAGCTAGCCCCTCGCTAAAGAAATACAGAGAAACCCGAACAGGTTAAGCGTTAATACCAATCAATGTCTTGGCCTATGGCTGGGCTACGCTTCTACAAAAGCAATTTAATGTGCCCCGTACCCGGACTCACTTTTCCCAACATTCTGTTTTGTTTTCGTAAATTGCATTTTCTGATTTCAAACGAAACGAAACGTAAAGAGGTACACACACACACGCTCGCACACACACATTTCTTCATAGGGATCCCATAATCAGGTATGAAAGGTTACGCTTGCGCAGTTGTGTATTGTCAGAGAGCAGCAGGCCGGCAGCCAGCAGCCAGCAGGCAGGCAGCACGCAGGAGGCAGGCAGGATTGGAATGCTCACTTGGATTCGGCTGTGCTATGGCACTGCTGGAATTGTGCCTGCATCTCTACGCATTTGCGTGTGTCTCTCTGTCCGCCTCGTTTGCTGAAAGGAACTTAATCTCCTTTGTGCAATATTCCCTACTGCCTCAGTCGGAATCGGTGTCGCCGTCAGAGCTGGCTCTGCTTTGGCGAGGCCGTTGTTTTGTTCTTTTAATGATAAAAAATACAGAAACCTTTGCCTTTTTATTTGGAATTTGGTATTGGTACCTTTTTAATCTCTTGTGCTGTGCCTTCTTTCTCTCTCTCTCCCTCTCTGTCTTTTAGCTATGCGCAGTTATGTTATTAAAGCATTGTTCTTTTATTCGCTCGTGCAACCCTTAGAGCCAGCGGGTTTTCGGTTTTGAATTTCTTGCCGAACAAAGGCCCAGCTACATACAATCAGGCCCAACTTGTTAGCCCAGAAAAAAGGAATTGAACTGCCAAAAGAGCAACCACATTGTCCCGTTTGAGATACGGATTGCGCAGCCGCAACTGTTGCCAGGATGAGGCACCGCCGAACCCGAAACTGCGCCGCAGCTTCCCATTTGTACAGCGTGAATTGATTTGGCACAGCCTGCCAGAGAACCACCCACCCACCTACCCGAGCAGCGTATATTTACTTTGCTTCACTTCAGCTTACAGCTGCAACCGCATTTTTGATTACACTTGAATTTTCCTCAATTTGCGTTGTGCTTTCAGCGCCGCCAGTTGCCAGTTGCTCGTTGCCAGTTGGCTCGTCAGAGGCGGGCAACGAATTTCGAATTTTTTCTATTCAAATATTTGTTTATGGAACCACTTGGCGCCTTTTAAATGTTATTATTTAGTTTGCTGCTTCTTAAATGTATCCCTATGAGTGGTGCGTATGTGTGTGTGTGAGTGTGTGTGTGTTTAGATTGTGCGCGCATTTGGTCGGGGTCGTTAGACGAATCGTCTGCATAGCTGATGACTTTCAATATTTGTACAGTAGTTTGACCCTTTTTAACAGCTCTATATACGATATGAAATGGTGCATGCTGCATTTCGTAGATACATTATCGCTGTGTGAGTGCCGCATTACTTAGTCCCTAATACGTTCATCAAATACAGGCCGTAACCCATTAGATTGGCCCTCTGGCTGGTTTCGGAATGTAGACAGCAGACGAAGAATAATAGAGGGAATGAGAGAGAGATTATCATTATTTATGTATATTTAGCCACAGATATAGCCAAGAATTTAGCTATATAGAACATATGCATAGGTGAAAACTTAGTCGAATGCTAGCCAAGTCCAATACCTAGTTATATACAACTATTTATTTCGAATGGCAGAAGCCGTGCAGCATTTTATTACTCATGTGCCTATTATCATTCAGTTCTCTAAGCATCTCAAGTATTTCATTCCGATCCGAGTCTTTCGTTGCGCCTTTATTTATGTGCCGTTACTTATGAGCCCCCATGATTTATGTCCCGCTCTCGCGGACTAGACGTGCGCTAAACGCTTTCAATTAAAAGCAAAAGAAGCGTCGAGCTGCTGCCTTGACAAATTGGCCAATGAGTGCTGACAATCGATGGCACATATACCCTGTATGTAAATGATGATATATGAGGTATATAGGGCGAGTGACTACTATACATCATATTCCATTTTTCTACACACTCCATCATT